CAGTGATGTACTGTCTAATGAGAGAACCAAGGTCACTCTGGGCTTTCTGAAGTGATGAGAGGGATCTAAAAAACCCCAAACATTGAAGATTATACAATTGTCTCACCGAGACAGCTACATCAGGATCTGCTCAAATAAAGCCATACTGCAGCAGAGGGGAAGCTCCACAAACACTTCTAGAACAGCTTTCCCCACAGTTCCTCTCCAGGTCTGATGCCCAATTCTTGATGCAAATTCTTTTTCCACTTTCATTTTGCAACTCATTCATAGACTTTTATCTCAGTTCTCTCTCCCCTTCTCAGGAAGCTCCTTAATAAATGGAGGCAATAAGCTCCTTAATAAGTGGAGGCACACTTCTATTAAGAACGTGGTAGGAGGGATCATTACATGAGCAGGGCTAAAATATACTCATCACATTGTATCATGGCATCATGGAATTATTTGGGCTTGGAAAGACCTTAAAGCTCATCTAGTCCCACCTCTGCCATGGGCAGGGACACCTTCCACTGTCCCAGGCTGCTCCAAGCCCAATGTCCAGCCTGGCTTGGGCACTGCCAGGGATCCAGGGGCAGCCACAGCTGCTCTGGGCACCCTGTGCCAGCCCTGCCCACCCTCACAGGGAAGGATTTCTTCCCAATATCCAATCCAAACCTCCTCTCTGCCAGTTTTGAAGCCATTCCCCTTGTCCTGGCACTGCAGGTTGCTGAGCAGCTTTCCAGACTCTGAGCCCAGAACAAGCCGTGGGGCTCACACAGAGCCTGGCCCCAGCTCAGCTCTCTCCTCCCCGGGACCGCAGGGCAATGACAGCCGTGCTACCAGAACACACAGGGAATTAAGGTCTGGCACTTTCAGCAGCCGGGGATGCTTTTCTCTACACTCACAGCCCCCATCCTTCTAATCCCAAGAGCGCAGCCCCGCCTCGGGGGGGACAAACCGGCCGTACTGCACCGAAAGGCGGAGGGAGCTGGGGCTGCTCAGCCTGGAAATGAGAAGGGTGTGCGGAGTCCTCCGAGCGTCTTCCAGCGTCTGGAGGGGCTACAAGAAAGCCGGAGGGACTCTGCATCAGGAACTGGACTGACAGCACAAGGGGGAAGGGCTTCGGACTGAAAGAAGGGAAATTTAAGTTAGATATAGGGTAGAAATTCTTCCCTGTGAGAGTGAGGAAGCACCGGCACAGATTGCCGACAGAAACTGTGGCTGCTCCATCCCTGGAAGTGCTCGAGGCCAGGCTAGACGGGGTTTGGAGCAACCTGGGATAGCGGCAGGTATCCCTGCCCACGGCAGAGGTAGAACTGGATGAGCTTTAAAGTCCCTTCCAACCCCTTAACATCCTATAATTCTGTAATTCTACGAAAGGCAGCTGAGCAGGTCTCCCAAAGCCCCCTCCGTGTGTGCCGCGCTTTAGCGCTTCTCTTTAAGCACTTTAAACCTCCGCTCCTCCCGGTCCCGCCGCTTCCCTCCCTCCCCGGCCGAGCCACGCCGGGCCCCGCGGGCGCTTTGCCGCCGCCTCAGCGCGGTTCCCGGGCTCACTCACGGCGTGCTGCGATCGCTGTACTCGTTGGCGACAGTCTCGATGCCGCCGGCGCGAGCCACGGCCACGTAGCAGCTCTGGAAGCCCAGGTCGATGCCCACCACGGACATGGCGGCGGCGCTGAGGGGGAGCGCGGCACCGGCAATTCTCGAAAGATCCCGTCGGGCCGCGGCCGCGCCGGCGCCGAGGGCGGCCGAGATCTCGCGAGAGTTGCGGGGCGCGCTGAGGGCGGGCGCTCTGAGGGCGTTCCTCGCTCCGCGCTTTTTCCCTTCCCCAAAGTGATTTATTTCCTTCGTAAGGGTTCGCGGAATGGCAGAAAAAGGCGATAAAGTCACAGCTTGGCAGCGCTGCAAAGGTCGCTGAGTTATTGCTCTCACTCTGAAGCGGTTGATGCCACAGAAAAGGCATTAACTTTTTTTGCTTGCCCGTGATGTACCGATCTGAAGGTGACAGGTGTGGTGGATGGAAACAGCACACACACCGTGAGACTTAATAATAAATAATTACCATTAAAGTGCACACATAAAGATAATAAAAGTACAGTTTCTGTAAACACTTTTTTTTTGCAGAAAAGGACTTAAAGACCTCTTCAGGATTTTTCTTTGGTGATTCAGACATCCGTGGCAGTGCCCAAGGCCAGGTTTGGTGGGGCTTGGAGCAGCCTGGGACATGGAAGGGGTCCCTGCCATGGCACGGGTGGGATGGATGAGCTTTAAGGTCCTTTCAACCCATACCAGTCCGGAATTCGATATTCTGATTTACAGCAGAAAATCCAGGGCTGGTTTTGTTGATCTCAGGTTGAAAGTCCAAGGTGTCATAATTTGAGATTGTGTTAAAGGATAATTTGATACTCACTGTGCTCCCAATAAAATTCAGTATATGACTGCTTTATGTCCAGTAGGATTTATAGAACGCTTGGTCTATAATCACCACAGAATATTTTAATGTTATTACATCTCACTGGGGCCCTCTTGCTGCAGTTTGGATGAGTGCAGACACTTTGTGCTTTCCATGGCAGTGTTTGGCCACCAAGAGCTTTGTGGGCGTGTGAGAGAAAAATCCTTTTTTAAGGATCAGGAATCCCTAAAGAGCTAAAAAAAAAAAAAAAATTAAAAATTTAAATCTCTAGAAGTTCCTGGGACGTTCCATGGTCCCAGCAGTGGAGGGGACACTGGAGCTGCTCCTCTCAGCAGCATGAAAAGTTCTGCCAAGGGAAGTATTTTGGGACTGGATTCATCCTAACACAAACCTAATCCTGATACTTACATCTATGAGTTTTGTGAAACTGAACGTTTAGGAATACTTTTAATCCCACGATGAAACACGTGTGGCAGTGCAGTGTGTCACAAACTGTGCGTTCTGCCTGTTCCTTGTTTGAGTGACACAGAAACACACCCAGAGAAACTGCACAGTGCAGGCAGCAAGGACTCCTGCCCCAGAGCCACTGCCTGGCTCCTCAGGGCTGGGAATTCCCTCGGGAATTGCATCAGTAATGACAGAATATTAATGAAGTTTTTGACCTCGGATGTCCTTGAGGAACAGCCAGGGTTGCTGCTCCAGATGGGGAATATTGTACAGCTCACAGGCCTGGGAACCCATTTGCCTTTTAGGTTTGTCACTTGGCTTTTCCAAGCCTGGTGTCAGAGGGGATGGGAGTGACCAGAGTGACCCTGGGCTGGCAAATAATCCTGGGGCTTTGCCTGGGCATGGGAGGGAGGGAGGTGGGGGAGAAGGGCCCTGCCAGCCCCAGCCCCAGTTCTGGTCACACTCTGTGTTCCTCAGACTACCCACCCTGATGCCTGAAGTTTTAGCTTTTCTATTTCCCAGGCTCTGCAGTGCATTAGGATAGAACTCTGAACTCCAGATCAAGTGTTCCAAGTTCTCCTCCCAGCTCAGGCACACAGAACAATCCTTTTCCAGCCCCACAACCAAGGACACGCTGCAGCTCCAGCCCCAAAAAGTGCAAACAGCAGCGAATGGGGGAGAGAATGTGGGAGGGTGGGACTGCAGAACCTGGAGCTGGGATTGGACAATGAACCCCAAAATGGAAATGGACCAAAACTGATAAAAGTGTGAAAAATCATGACCAAGAGTCCAGCTTGGGTGTAGCCATGGCCAGGCTCTTGCACTGCCCAAGGTGAATCCTTTGAAAACCTTTTAATAAATCCCTGCTTTATTCCTTTAACTCTGTCCAGCCTCTGTTCCAGGGCAGCCTCTCCAGGTATCAGCCCTGTGCTTCATTCAGTGCTTGACTCACTCTGGGCCATGGGCACTCCTGATCCCAGCCCCCAGACATTCCCAAAACCTGACTCACATAGAAATCCTTGCCTGGCACACCCAGCACCCTCCTTTTCCTGTGATCTGCATAAGAAACAGATCTGTGATTTCACTGGAAATCCACCAGCACTGTCTGTCCCAGCGTCCTCCCAGAAGCTCCAGCCTCAGTTTACAGCTCATTGAAATTTCAGCTCAGTCTCGGAATTCATTAACACCAGCCAAACACAACCACGAATGTGGACTTAAAATAATCCCTGGCTGCAATCTGTGGCAGTCTCTTCCTTGGGCTGCTGGAAATAGCCCTCACACGTCACCTGACGTAAGGTTCGCCGGGTTATTCTGGGATATTCCGATAGGAAAGGGCTTTGTGATCCCCTCCGCTGAGGGATCTGGCAGACACGCTGCCCCCGGCTCTGACATAAACCACACCACAGCTCTGCGAAATCCCACCCGCCTGTGCTACCAAAGTCACCCAGGAGCCGTTTCCATTAGTTGCGTCAGCTCAAGAATTTGCAGGGAAATAAATATTAAAATGACCAATTCCCTTTTCTTCTGGTTTCATAGTTCTCCATCAAACCTGAAAGATAATTAGATAACATGGGCTTACAAATTAAACCATCAGAGCTGGGTGACTGCCCACAAACAAACCGCAAAGTACCCAAGGCAGGAACAGGAACAGGGACAGGACCAGGACCAGGACCAGGACCAGGACCAGGACCAGGACCAGGACCGGGACTGGGCGCGGCAATGACGTGACGGGAGTGGCAGGGGCGAGAGAGTGCAGGCCCACGGGCGCTGCCGCTCTGGCCGCCGGAGGACTCGTTCTTTATGGTCCAGGAGGACTCGCTCTCTATGATCCTGGAGGTGTTCGTCTCTATGACCCTGGAGGACTCATCTCTATGACCCTGGCGGACTCATCTCTATGACCCTGGAGGACTCAGTCTCTATGACCCTGGAGGACTTCATCTCTATGACCCTGGAGGACTCATCTCTATGACCCTGGAGGACTCTGTCTCTATGACCCTGGAGGACTTCGTCTCTATGAGCCTGGAGGACTCTCCCCCCGTCCTGGAGGACTCGCTCGCTATGGCGGCCTCAGCCTCCCCACGGGCCGCACGTCCCGGCATGCCCCGCAGCTGTCACTAGTCCCGCCGTTCCCCGCAGCAGCCTCACTTCCGGCCCAGGCGTTAAGATGGCGACGCCCATGCACCGGTTGATTGCTCGCAGACAAGCGTGAGTGGGCCTGGGGGGGCCGCGCTGGGCGGGCACGGGCTGAGGAGCGGGGGGCGCTGGTGGCCTCGGGGCGCTCGACGTTTTCCCGGCGCTCTGAGGCCTCCACGCCGCTGCGCTCTGTCCCAAGGGGAAACCTCCCCAAAACACGGCTGGGGCCAAGCGATGGCGGCCTCGGGTGTCCCGTGCGCGGCCGGGGCTTGGACCCGAGGGTGGCGGCGCGGCCTCTCCCGCTCAGGGCAGCGGCTCGGTTGTGCGGAGGCTCCGGGAGCTGCCGGTGGGAGCGGGCCCGGGGGCTCGGGGAGCGGGGAGGAGCTCTCGGGGTCGCTTCCCCGCTCCTCACCGCACACACAACAGCTCACACGTGGCTTCACGTGAACCGTGAGAAGTTTGCGGAGCTGTAGAGAAGGCAAAGAAAAACCGAGCGAGCGGCTCTTGCTCAGCCGGGGATGTTGCAATCGAGTAATTCCCTCAGCACCGAAGGGATCTGATTGCAGAATCCTGAGACGAAGAAAACACATTTTTGCTTGTTTATGAAGTGCAGCGAATGTGTGTCCCAGTCCCGTGGAATGTTGGCTTTGGTTTTTCAGCTCTTTCTTGGTTTGGGTGAATGAATTTATTGAATTTATTGAATTTATTTCTCTTGTTTCAATTTTTGGACAGCGGGTTTTTGCCTAATCACAATGTGCAGGATGTGGTCACGAATTTTTTCAGGATTTAGTAATGATTTTTTTATTTTCCAGTGGAAAATAATTTGGTATTTTAAAGTATTCCTGGAATGCTTGTTCTTTCGAGTTGGTATTTTGTTTGAGTCAAGGACTCAGTTTTTAGATTTGCTGTCTTTGTGCTTGCTGTGAGATCTGTCAGCCTTTGCTCCAGGCTTGGGGTCGCTGATCCTTGCTCAAAGTTCCCTTCGGTTCTGTGCTTTTCATTAGTGCCAGACTCGTTAGTGCTGATGTACTGGTTGTAGCTCTGCAGCTGCTGAGCAGGGCTCATGTTCTGTTAATTATCTTGGCTTTAGGGTTTAATCCTTCACCCTTTGAGCTTCCATGGGATTGTCTGCTGGGGAGAGCAGTTCTGCAGCCTTGCCAACACTGAGTTTTATCCAAATTGTGGGTTTGGGGTAGGTCTGAGGGAGACAAACTCTGATTTTGGGGATTGTAACTGCTCTGGCAAGGAGACAAAGGCACAGCAAACCCCTCTGAGCTGTTGGGTTCTGTTCATTCCCACATATTCTGATTCCTGCCCAAGTTCATTGTGCTCTCCACGCTGGGAGTTTCATCAGTTTTTTCGTGCTGAGTATTTCTAAGGCTTGAGGATGAAGCCAAATGCTCTGCATTGAAAAAGTGATGAATGTTCAGCACAAGATTCCATTCAGGAACTGCCACAAAAAGTGGTGGCTGAAGCTGAGGGAGAAGCAATTCAGAGCTGGGCTGGAAAAGGGAAAAATGCTCAGTGCTGCTCTGTCACTTCATCCTCATCCATGGATCTGGGAGCTTCCTACATCAGCCAGGCTGCAATTTCAGACAGCTTAGATGGGCTGGCCTTGAAAAATTCAGATTTTGGTGCTTGGAAGAAAAACTGGAGGTGGCAGGAAGAGACAGCAGTGGCAGGGAACTGAAGGGGCACAGCCCTGAGCTCAGGACTAATTTTGGTTGTGACCTTGAGCAGTCCCGGGCTGGGCGAGTTCCCTGCTTTGTAAAGGAGGAGAGCAGCTGGGAGAGGAGGCAAAACAACTTTGCAGAGCTTCAGAAGAGCACCTTAAGAGCTCCAGCATGAAAATAGGAGTGTTTTCCCTTCCCTGATTGCTAAAAACGCCCAGAGGATTTTACCAGAGTGAGATCTGAAATTGAGTGTGAGCTCTCCCTGCTGCAGGTGTTTGGGGAGGTCTGGCTCCATTCGTCTGCACAGAATTTGGGAATCTGATTGTCCCAAAGATTAACCTTAGACCAGGCTTTACCAGCTCCTGATTGTTGTTTATTTGGATTTACTGGGAGCTTCTCAGAGAGTCCTGGGCTGTGGGTGGGAATTGGGCAGTTTGGGATTTGGGTGTTTAATTTCAGGAATTAGAAATGAAGCTGCTGCTCTTTGTGCTAAAACAGAATTTCAGTGATTTTTCTGAAGCCAGAACCCCCTGCAGCTGTTGGGTAGCAGCCAATTGAGCAGTGTGATTGTTCCCATGTGAAAGTGTTTTAATAAATGAAGATCTGTTTGCCTGAATTCTGTGTCTGCTCGGTGTTACTGCTCATTCAAAAGAAAATCTGAAGCACCTGGGAGCATCTGATTTAATAATAGCTTGATTAAAGCTGCATGATAAAAAACTAAATATTTTTTCAGTGGATAGAACAAACCTGGAATGAGTTACTTAAGCAATTCTGCATTTTTCTAGGGAGGCAAACAAGCAGCATGTGAGGTGTCAGAAGTGTTTAGAGTTTGGCCACTGGACATATGAATGTAAAGGGAAGAGGAAATATCTGCACAGGCCTTCAAGGACAGCTCAGCTGGCCAAAATCCTTAAGGAGAAGGAAAAGCAACTCCTGCTGCAGCAGAGGTAAGAGTGGCAGAGTGAAATGTTGGCTTTATTGAAATAAAAGATGTTATCCCAGACCATTTTCTGTCATCTTTTCCTCCAAACTGTGGGATGTGTGCTTAATGTAAAGCTGATCTGTGCTCTGGGTGAAATATGTACACTCAGGTCCTAGAGAATTAAAATCAACATTTTAATTTCATTAACACCTGCTCATCTGAAATACATTTAAAACTGTTTTGGCCTGTCTGAAACAAAAACCAGGCACTGAGCCAAAGTTAAATCAGTTGGAGCCTTTTTGGTAGTGGAGTATCTTCCTGAATTCCCTGGTTGTTTGATTTCATGTTTCTGTGCTGTCCAAGTAGATGGGTGTGAAAGCTGTAAATGCATTTATAGCAAATTCTTGCCCCATGTCAGATTTGCTGTTCAGAGCTGCAGTTAAAGCTGGCCCAGCCCTGCTCCTGCTGCTCCCTGGGAGCTGCGGGGGTCAGGCAGGTGAAGGAGACTTGAGATATCAGCTTTAACTCAAGCATGAAGTAAAAACATCTCACTGAATTGCACAATTATTTCCTCTTGTGACAGCCCAGGAAGTGGAAAGGACTGAGAAACCTCAGCAGAGCTCTGCATGTGGCACCTGATTTCCTTTCCACTTTGCCCTGGGAGCACATTTTAATGTTTCCCCCCAAGCAGACCCAGAGGCAGCAGTAATGCAGCACCTCACTTTTGCGTGGAATTTTTATGTGTCAGGGTTGGTTTTGTCACTCCAGTTTGGTTTCAGGAGCTGGAGAGGCACAGGGTCACTCCCAGTGCCACTCCTTGCACCTGGAATTCCTGAGGGTTTGGCCACGTGTGCTCAGTCAGTGCCACTTGCAGCTCATCCCCCTGCAGGCAGGGAGAGCATTCCCAGCTTTTGCTGCTCCTGATGGGACAGGGACAGGAGGGTGGGAGCTCAGCCAGGGCTCTTTGGCCTCCTCAGCTGCTCCAGCTCAGCAGCAACTCTGAGTCACAGGCCTGAAACCCTGCCTTGAGTGGAGACTCACGAGCTTGTGAGGAGAGTGATGTAAAGGGATTGATTTTGAAATTAATTTTGATCCAGTGAGTAATTGGGAAGCAATTAAGAGTCATCCAGTGTTGCAGATATGAGTGCTTGGACTCTGACACTTGGCTCCATTTAGAGGCAAAATATCTTCAGAGACTCAAGAATTTTAGGCTAAATTTGAGTTTAAGGCTCAGATTATTTCCTTGTTGCTTTTCTGCCCCTTCTCTGGTGGATTCTGCAGGTTACCACTGGAGGATGGTGAAATGAAGGTGAAATTCCTTGTCCTGTCCTTGGGCTTGAATCTGAGTTTGGGATCATTTTATGTGGGAGTTTCAGGATTGGCCAGTCTGGCACAAAAGATTTGGAAGCTTTTACAGTGAAGAGGGGCATGTGCTGGGGAAAAAAATCACCTTGTGGAAGGAAAGCTGAGTAATTCCCAGGTGGGAGCAGTGTTTTACCCTGCTCAGTGGGGCTGCATTCCCTGGGTTTATGTTCCTTAGCTGTGCCAGGAGGGATCCTGTTCCTTTGCTGCCAGTGCTGCACTTCCAAGGATGAAGCTTTTTCTTCATGGAGAAACGATTTCCTGTGTCACATTTGTGTGACATTTTTTGTGTCTCTTGCTTTGGGAGAGTTGGGTCTCCCCCAGGTCTGCTGTGTCACCACCTTGAAAGAGCACAGGAATCATTAACCAGAGGGCAAACCCAGCCTGAACAGGTCAATATTTACCTGTGACAACCTCAGCCAGGCGTTTTCAGCATGAACTCCTGGCCCAGTTGTTCAGTGCTTTGCCTGGTGTTGGCTCCCAGTTCTGGTGGCCACTCTGGAGGTGTCACTGAGCCCCTGGGAGCTGAGGGAATGCTCCTTCCTGGGGGTGCTGGAGCTCTGAGCCCAGCCCTGAGCTGGGTTTATGGCTCTGGGGGTGAGAGCAGGAAGCCCTGGAGTAACTCCTGAGTAACCCACACCTTACACACTCCCTGAGTTAGGTCCTGTCTCCTCAAAGCTGCTTTGGGGTTTAATTCTGTTCTCACAGTCACTCCTGTGCCCTGGGAATGCCCTGGGTGCCTGCAGAGGGTCTGAGACCTTAGGAATGTAAATATGGACAGGAGGAATTGGAATCTGAATATCAGTGAATCCTCCCCTTGCCCACAGCAGGGCGTGGGGAGTGTGGAAAATTGTGTGATGATAATGTTTTCATGCCTTATGTGTGAAAATAAAAAATCACAGAAACCTCATTTTTCTGGTGGCACACAAGGATCTTTCTTCTGTGGCACCACTAAAACTTTTTGAGGGGATGAACACTTGGGAATCTGAGACACACATAGCTGGAAAGCATCAATATAAATGGATTTTTCTGTTTCTCTTTGCACTTGGAAGAAATGTGAAAGCTACAGGCTAAGTCAAGCTTTTACCCTTGATTTCAATCAATTCACTTATTGCTAATTATAGTTACAAACAACTTCTTTGTATCCTTCCCTCCTGTGCCTTTCACATCCCAGCTGCTGCTGTCCATACAAAATGAGGCAAAGGGGAGAGCAGAGCATAAATAGCACAGAAAATTTCTAATTAGAGGTGAATTGCTGGGTTTTCCTCCTCTGCCTCACAGGTGGGTTTTGCTCTGCTTTGCCCAGTGAATATTAAACTCAGTCTCAGTGTGCTGCTATTTATTTAATTTTCTTGTTGCATTAATCAAAGCCATTCTTTTTCCCCCCTTAATTAGCACTGGAGAAAGTGCTGCAGAAAAGAAGACCAAGAAAAAAAGGTATGTGGGGATTGGTGGGGACTGCTCCTGCACTGGCTGTGCCAGCAGAACTCTGGGAAGGGGGTGGCAAATGTCAACTTTGCAAATAAGTTTTGGTTTTGCTGCTTTGAGGCTGTTACCAGCTTTTGTCTGACAGACATCTGGAGAATTTCTACTCCTCCCTGTTCAAAAACTCTCAAAATTCTATTCTCTGTTTTTTTCCCTGCTGATTTTCCTCCCCTTGCACGATCGTGCTGTAGTAATAAAAGTTTTCTTATTTCTGCCCCAGAGTCCATCAGGATTCTGAAACAAGGCTGGGTTGGGGGTTTCTGGTCTCTCATTGCTCCACCTGCCCATCCTGCTCTGATTCTGCTGTTTCCATTCCCTTCTCCTGCCAGTTCTCTCTCTCTCAAGCTTTGTCTAGAGGATGAAATAAAACATCCTAAAAAACCCAACCCCAAAACCAAACAAAACCCCCCCCATTGATCCCAAACTAAACCAAAATCCAGGAAATGACCCTGCCTCTCTCCAAGTCCTGGTTAGAGCCAAGAACTCTTTTGACATTGTTTGTACTTTACTTTGCATTAATGTTTACTTGGGAATTTGCTTTCTTAGCAAATGGAAAGGAGGAACAGCCAGAACTGTGGCTGGAACACTCCTGGAATCCTGTAGGGAGTTTTACACCAGGGAATGTCTGTGCAGTCACAGCCCCAGCATCTCTTCCCCTTCGTTGTCACTTGTGTGTCTCAGTCTGATCTAAGCCACTTTTCAGGAGGTTTTTAAAGGCCAGGCCTTTGCTGTGTGTGGCAGGCAGTAAATAAGGCAGAGCAGATCTTTGCAGTGTTCCTTTATTCCAGGCTGTCCTGTGGAATGTGGTTGACTGCAATGCTGGGCTGTCTCAGTGGGTTTTAGCACAGGCTGCTTTCCCAGAAGTGCCAATTTATTGCTGGGGTTACTCAGGACTGGTGAGATCATGAATTAACTGGTTCTGAGCTGGGCAGCTCAGGCCTCTTCCTGCCTCAGACACTGCAGCCTTTGCTGGCATAATTATTTACAGAGTATTTGAGTAAAAGGGCTCATGGGGAAGGGAAGTTTGGGCACTTTCTCCTTAAAATTTTAAAACTCTTGTTAATCTGAATTATTCTGCTTCTGTGCAATCACAGAATCTTTCATTATAAATTTATTTCCAGTCAGTTTGCTCTTTAGATTTTTATTATAATATGGGAAAAATTAAATGTGGAGAATCCAGCAAAGTTCCAGATTTAGATTAAAACTAAAAGTTTGGGTTCTGGCAGGAGGAACCTTTTCCACAGAGTGTGTTTGTTTTGATATAAACACTAATAAGGGAGCTCAGGCCTAACCAGAAAAACAGGCTGAGGCAGAGCAGCTGCTGCAGAGCCCTGTGACCTCAGGTGACAGAGCCACCTTCCAGCTGTGCTTGGCCTCAGTGTCCCCCTGCAATGTCTGAGTTACCCCTGAGAGCCCCCCGGGTATTGGAGCACGGGGAAACCTGCCTGGATCAACAACAGCAACCTCCTGCTTCCCTCCTGGCTCCCTCCTCTCCTCAGGCCCCACAGTTGTGGGTTGGGTTCAGGGGTATTTTGGAAAGCCCTGGGGGTGTTGGAGCAGAGCAGGGTACCAGCCTGGGTTCCAACAGAACTGGGCACAGAATCAGACATGAACTCTTAGAAACTTGTCCTAATGAAGATGAATTTAAAAATTTACTACTTTAAAAATTCTGTGCTTTCCCAGAAGTGTGATAAACCCTTACAGCCTCTGCAGTCACGTTGCCAGATTGTGTTTTGTGCTGCAGTTTTAGCTGTCCCCATCTCCATTCTCCTGCTGGCAGTGCCAGCAGCCCACGTGTTGCCTCTCCTGAGAACAAGTTCCTGCCTGTTTCCTCTCCCTGCCCCAGCTCTTGATTCCCTCTGCTAGAGGCAGCTCTTAGTGCAGTATCCTGATGTTTCTGGGAGTGGGTTTTGGAATAAACCTGAACACTGGATGTCCATGGATTCTGTGAAAGGTGATCAGGAAAAGCAAACTGAGAGTTACTCAGGGGATCATCTGATTCCTGCCCAGCTCAGATTGAAACTACTACTCCCATATTTTTTATTTTCCTTGTCTTAACGCTGATTTTTTTTCCCCAGAAAAGTCAGTGTTTAAGCAGCCCTTATGGATTTATCTGTAATGAACAGTCCTTGTGTCTGCACACAGAGATGGCAGATTACAGATATATTATGAAAACTTCAGTGCTTTATGGCTTAATCCACACCCACATTTGTCAGCTGACAGGGCTGATATGATGAAAAAACCTCACACTCTTCATAACCTTAACACAGGCACTTCCTGACTTGTTACATTTAACCAAACCCTCTTGATAAAAAAATGCTGCATTAATTTTCTAATGGTAACAAGATTCTGCAGTATCATAATTTACATTTTTGGATGCTCTTTGATTGACTTTGAGTGGGAAGGGAGGTGAATCAGTATTTTGTACTTCGGGGAAAGATCCCTGGGAGAATTAAATTGTATTTTCTTGGAATTCATATCATCCCCCCCTTAATCAGAGATGTTGATCTTGAGAACAATGGCTGCAGGAAGGGCTGAACATGAAAAAAAAAGTGCAGAGCATACAGAAATCCTCTTTGCTGTGTTCATCATTCTGTCTTAATCTTGGATTGTTTCCACCCTTCTCCTCCACCTGGAAATCACAAGCATGCTGTAGTGGCAGGTGCTTTGGGTTCTTTTGCCAGCAGTAATCTAAGAACAGTTTTTGCTGGGAACAGCTCTGACCTGGGTGAAATCACTGCTGGAACCTCCCCTGACTCTTGCAGTGGCAGAATTTCTGTTTTGCAGTGCTGAGGCAGGGACTGAGCCTGGGTCATTTTCCCCAGGCCAGCAAAGCTCCTGCTCAGGGCTGGGAAGGAGATCCTGGCCAGCTTTTCCTGCCTGCCCCTCTCTGCAGTGCTGCTGGGTTATGTCATGCCCTGGGGCCACTCTGCCACTGCTCACATGGCCAAAATCCACTCATGCAGGAGTGGAGAAGGGAGGGGAGGGCACAGGAATTCATCTTAGGTGGTGAGGCCTGGAAATTTCGCTGGTGAGCCGTGGAAATTTTCAAGGCAAATAATTGCTGTGGATGATTGCGACAGAGCAGAGGGAACACTGTGTGTGTGTGATGGGCTCTGGCACGGCTGTGCTCAGCTCTTTGTTCTCTCTCAGGTCCAAGAGTGTGACCAGTTCCAGCAGCAGCAGCAGTGACAGCTCAGCCAGTGACTCCTCCTCCGACAGCGAGGACTCCTCTGCCTCCTCCTCCTCCTCCTCGGACAGTGACAGTGAGGACAGCAACTCCTCCTCCTCCTCCTCCCCCTCCTCCAGCAGCTCTTCCTCCTCCTCCTCTGACTTCGAGTCGGATTCCAGCTCCTCCAGCAGCAGCAGCAGCAGCAGCACAGACAGCAGCTCTGAGGATGAGCCCCCAAAGAAGAAGAAGAAGAAATAGCTGGGGAGGTGAAGGACTGCTGTGGAGTGAGTGACACTGCCCTGCCAGGGGCTGGAGCACACGGCTGCCAAACATTCAATGGTCAAACATTTCTACTGCTCAGATTTCGAAGTGTTTTGTATAGATGTTCATAGGACATGGAAGGTATTAAATGGCACGTGAGACTAACTGAGAGAGTATTTTTGTGGTTTATCCTTTTATGGAAGATTTTACTTTTTTAGTTCCAAAAAAAAAGAAAAAAAAGAATTCTATCATCAGATTTGTTTATATGAGCTAAAGTCCAGTAACCTGGATGTTTACATGCTGGAAAGCAGAAGCTTTTTGTTGCAGATTATGCTGTGCATCATGTGCTGTTCCTCTGTTAATGACAGCTTCACTTCCATTGAGAAAAATCCTCTAAACTGCTCAAAGCAGAAGTTTTTCAGTGCTGCTGTGGAGCTCTGGCATTGTTGAACCTAAATGCACAACGTGTCCCACACAGAGTCTCCCACCTGCCCGGTGACAAATGGATTCTGTGCTGCTGAGTTTGTGTTCCAATGGCTTTTCCTGATGCTTCCAGGTCGAGTCTTAACTGCACCATCCAGCTGAGCTGTGTTGATTTGTTACTGATCAATGTAGTGCTTGTCCTGCCCACAGCCCCGGGGCTTTTCACTCCCCTGTGTCCTTGGCTCTGTGTTGGAGGTGTTGGTGTTGGAAAGCAGCAGCTCGGTGAATTGGGGCTGCTGCTGCTTTAGGAGTTTCATCTTGGTGCCTTTTCTTTTTTTTTTTTTTTTGTAAATTCAGTGTTATCCCAGTGAGATAAGGGCTGGAGTGGGTGTTCTGTAGAACTCCACCAATAACAATCTGTAATATGGTCAGAAAACCAGAGAAATCTTAACAAACAGAACTGGGCACTTTTCACTGGATGCTCAGTAAAAGAGACTCCTCGAAGTAAAGGTCTCAGAGGAAAGTGTTCCCCTCTGGATGTGTTTCCCAAGGAATGTGTGAAATGCAGGATTGTGTTGGGCACCTGCTGAGTGACACTGCAGGAATTCATTCTTTGCTCGTGGGAATGGCCCTGGAGAAGCAAGGGAGTGCAAAACCCCCACAAACCCAACAAGAGCAGATCCAAACACGCTGCAGAGCAGGGATTGCTGGGTGCAGAGTGGCAATTATTTGTTGTTCTGGTGGATCAAAGCTAAGTTGCCATTAGTATTTTGTTTGGTGATGCAGTCTCCTGAATTTCTTATTGTTGGAGTGCCCTTTTTGGGGAGGGGGCATTAGGATAAATACAGTAACTAAACTATTTTTTATATTTTTATGGAAAAAGTAGTGTGTAGACTTACTTTGGAATAAACTGTACTTATTTAAATGTTTGAAAATACCTATGTTGTGTGTCTGTGTGTGACCACTCCTGTGTTTTACAGAACACGCTGCAGACTGTAAATAAAACTACCACAAAGGTGTTGAAGTCTTGTGGAGTGAATGTACCATTTGATGGGAAAGTGAATAAATTATTAAACAGTAATTGCTAACTTGATGCTTACTGCAAATATCTAAAATATTTGTGGTGTTTGTGTGCAGGTTTCAGCTGGAGTTACCCTGGCATTCCCTCACAGAGGGACAGGATTGCTCCCAAGGAGGTTCTCCAGCAAGAAGTCACTCTGTATCCAGATTAAAAAAAAAAAAAAGTTTAGTTTCAAATACAATGTTTATATTGGCTTTTTTTTTTCTTGCCTTTTCTGGTTACTTTGTCTCTGCATGTTCTTATTTTACAGACTAACACCCCCTTCCTTGATCTGCCGCTGCCTCAAATCCTGCTCTCCTGCTGGATTAGGAGTTTTATAAAAACCCTGTTAACCAGGAATTCTTCCAGGGGCTGCCTCGTTTAATCCCTCCCACTCCAGGCAAAGCTGCCACTGCTCATTGTGGGGGAGCAATTGATGCAGCCTGGCAGGAAAACAGCCTCAGGAAAAGCTGTCACCTTTCAAGGAGAAACGCTGGGAACAGAGGGGAGAGCAGGAAAAGGGAGAGACAAGCCCAATTCTGAGTGCAGGGCTTTATTAACACAACCAGCTGCCACTCAGAAACGGGTTTTGGGTGCCCTGGCTGCAAGTGTATTGTACAGTCTCTGTGGATTAATGCATTGCTTCATTTTCTTAGGGAGGAGTCCTTGATAAACAGGAGGTTCTCCAGGGAATGGATTTGCTTTGTGAAATTCTGTCTGTCCCAGCTGTGCCTCGAACAGCTCCTGGGACAATGGATCCTGGCTGAGGTGCATCTTCCCAGCCTGCTTTGTTCCCCCAGCATGTGGGCTGCAAACCTTGACACCAGAACAGCAGAGAATCCCAGAATCCCAGGATGGTTTGGGTTGGAAGGACCTGAATCCATCCAGATCCATGGGCAGGGACACCTCCCACTGTCCCAGCCCCAATGTCCAGCCTGGCCTGGGACACTGCCAGGGATCCAGGGGCAGCCACAGCTGCTCTGGGCACCCTGTGCCAGGGCCTCACAATCCTCCCAGGCAGGAATTCCCTCCCAATATCTCACCTATCCCTGCTCTCCAGCAGTGGGAAACCATTCCCTGTGTCCTAAACCTCCATCCCTTGGAAATCCTCTCCATCTTTTCTCGCAGCCCCTCAAACACTGGGAGGCCACAATCAGGTGACCCTGAAGCTTCTCCTCTCCGGGCCGAACATTCCCAGCTCTGCCCGCCTTTCCTGGGAGATGGAAAGGGCCGGGATGGGGCTGGGGCTGGGATTGGGCCGGGATCGGGATCGGGATCGGGATCGGGATCGGGATCGGGTCGGGGATGGGGCCCGGGATGGGCCTGGCGGTTCCGCACCGCCAGGGGGCGCCGCGCGGCGGGAGCGCTCCCCGCGCGCTGCTCACGTGACTCTCCCACCGCCCCGTGGGGGAGGCGGGGCCGAGCTCAGGCCACGCCCCCACGCACGCGCGCGCGCGAGCTCCACCGGGGTCACGTGGTCCCCCCGCGCGTCACGTGATCGGGGCGGCGGCGGCGCGCGGGGGCCGCCGGGAAAGCGCCAGGCGGGACCGGGCCGGGATCGGGATCGGGACCGGGACCGGGCCCAGCGCAGCCCCGGCCGAGCCGCGGTCCTGCCCGAGCCCTGCGAGCCGCCAGCCCGGCGCCGGCCCGCCATGGACCGCCGGGACCCCTACGGAGCGGCCGCCCGCTTGTGAGCCGCCCCCCCCTCTCCCGGGCCGGGCCCGCCCCGCGCCCCCCGGCGCTCCGTGACTCGCCGGCGGCTCCTCGGGCCTCATCGTTCGCCGGTGGCGGCAGCCAGGAGATGGTCCGGGCCTAGCGGAGCGGCCAGCGCAGGTGAGCGCGGCCCCGCCGGGCCTCCCGCCGGCACCGGGACAGCGCCGGGGCCGAACCGCCCCCGCCCCGGCCGCTCCCGGGACATCCCGGCCGCTTCCCCGCGGCGGAACCGGCGGGCCCGAGGGCGGGATCGGCCGCTCCAGGCGCATCTCCCGCCGGGAGCCGCGGATTTCCCCGCGCTTTCCCCGCCGTGACACCCTGCGGAGGGCGGGGGTCCCTCCCCGGGAAGCAGGACCCGGGGCATTCCCTGGAACGGGAATTTGGGGGTGGGGGGGGGCGGCTCGGTGCTGGCGGGGCCGCTGCGCTGCCCTCTCCGGTGATGGATTTAATCCTGTTCCGGTAATTGACGTCAGGGCTTTGTTCCTTCCCCTTTGCTCTCCGCGGTTCGGGGCCGGAGCCGCTCCGGGATGGAGCGGGCAGGACCGGCACGGGCTGCGGGGCTCGGGGGCTCCGGGGGCCGGGCGGGGTCCCGGGGCTGCCGCGCTCACGGAATTGGCTTCGGGCAGGTGCTGCCGCAGGTCAGGGAAGGAAGAGTCTGAGTTCCGGACACAATCCCGGCCCCGAGTGAGTGGGTGGCTGTTATGTAAAGCCCCATCCCTGGTTGGGGGGTTCTATTGGACTTTGTGAAAGAGCAGCCGCTTAACATTCCTGGACTCTGGGCTGACTTTTTCTCCTTTTTTTTCCCCTTTTCCAATGAACAAAACAAAGCACGAAAGTGTTGAGATATGTAACCCAGGTGTTGGTGCATTCAGTGCTGTGTCTGTGGTTCTTTTCTGGAAATGAACAAGTTGTTAACTGAATTTTGGGGGAGAACCGAGTGCTTATGCCCAAAACTGTGGGCAGATGCTGTACAATGGGCAAGGAGCCTGAAAAGGGGCAGATGTGAGACCTGCTGTCCCCCCAGCGCCTCTCTGGCCTTGTTTGATCATTTTCTCAGGAATTCTGGTGGTTTTAAACATTCCCAAGTTTCCAGTGATGGCAGCCAGGCCCTGAGTGTTCCTTTCTCAGTGTCCCACTTGGGAATGAGCTGGTTTTGCTCAGGTCTGTGTGTTTATTTGTCACCTGGGCTCCCTTCCAGCTGCTGATCTCTCAGGTGGATTTTTAGTTCCTGACGTTCCTTTGAAACGACTGAATTCTTCTCTCGGATCCCTGGCGAATGGGGATTTGCAGCCTGGGGGGGTTATTGCAAAACAGGGTTTAGTGAAGTGCTTTGCAGGAGTGGTTGTGCACCTGATTGGTCATTTCATGGTCTCCTCTAATGAGGGAAACGTGATTAAACTCCCCAAGCTGCTGTTGTGTGTTGGCCTGGAGGTGTGAGACAGTCCCAGTGTCACCCTGGAGTTACTCAGTGGTTGTACTGGGACTGGGGCAGGTCTTGTTGGTCAGGAACAAAAGAGAAAATTTCTCTTTTGGCACTGTGAATATCTTGGCTTTAATAATGTATCAATGTCAGTTTTTGTCATTTGCTGCCTCCTGTACAGTGTGTTTGCAGCTCTGTGTGAGAGCAGACTCTCCTGTGTTCAGGATTGAGACAATCCTGGCATATCCTGAGCTGGGAGGGCCCCACAGGATCATCCAGTGCAGCTCCTGGCCCTACACAGCCCCAAAATCCCACCCTGGGCATCCCTGGAGTGATGTCCAAACACTCCTGGAGCTCTGGCATTCCCTGGGGAGCCTGGGCAGTGCCCAGCACCCTTCCCAAAATCCATCCTAACCCTCCAGCCCTTCCCTGGGTGCTGTTCCTGTCACTGTCACAGAGATTGGAGCTGTAGCCCCCGATGAGCTCTGACCTCAGGCTCCCCTTCCCCAGCAGAACAATCCCAGTGCCCTCAGCAGCTCCTTCATGGTCCTGCCACACCCTTCTCCGTCCCCATGTCCCTTCTTTGGATGCTATCAGTTTTTAATCTTTTTTTATGTCGTGGCCCAAAAGTGTCCCCAGGACTCCAGTACAGTTTAACAGCAGTGAATGAAAACTGAATTTCAGCTCTGATCTCAAAAGCTGTCTCAGGTCCCTGATATTTCCTCTAAACATCTTTGCAGTTCTTATTTTATGTCTTTTCTCCTTGTCTCAAACATTGAACGAGACTGAGCCCCTGGGGGCAGTTTTTGTGTGAGAAGCCACACAGCAACCCAGAAAAATAATTCATGTTTATGTGTTTAGCGTTCTTGCCAGTTCTAGTGACCTGAACTCGATAAAACACTATAAAACCCCAGTGAAATATGGCTTGGGATTTCTAGGGTGTTTTTTTTAGGGAGCTGGAATGTGCAGATGCTTTTGCATGGTTACGACCCAATTCTTTAATGAGAAGATTCCACATTTCTGTCTGCACAAACCACAGAGTTCGCTTCTTGGAGGCTTTG